TTAATGCTTAAACATTTTTTTCTTCTTTTTATAATTTGTTTAACCAACTTTGCATGCTTAGATCTAAACAGTTAGTTGAAGACAATATTATGCAATATAAGAACCGTTGTCAAGTTCCTATTTTTTTTTAATAAAATTCTCAGAACTTTCCATGAAATTTTCTGAAATGTGGCTGAGGGTTCTCAGGTGCTCATCGTGCATTCAGATGCTGACCGCGATGGGAGAATCCGGAGTAATACACAAGGCTAGGAGTCAGAGCGCAGAGAGGGAGCTGCTTAATCTACCTGGAGTCAGAGAAGGGTGTGTCTTGGATGTTCAAGCCAGGTCAGCAGCCTTTTAAGCTTTCTACACTCCCGTCTCCCAGAGTGTCCTGCACAGTCGGGCAGGTCTCCGATCCTCAGATCCTCACCTTAAAGGATGTCAGAGCAGCACTCAGCTCGGCAGGGCCAGGCCCCTGGGCATCTGAACCTGATGCTTCTCAAGCCCAGGAGACCAGGGGCTGGCAGCAGACTTAGGCACGGTGGGCCGTCAAGTACTTGCTACTTGGTCTGCCTTAATACCTGATTTCTTAAATGTTTTGGCAAAAAATGAAAGAAAATTACCTGAGAAGAAGTAATTTTAAAGTTTCTTAACTAATAATTTACCATATTTCCTGTTTTATCTAATTCATGTAATAAATATTTCTTCTAAGTATTTGACTAATCATGAGTATATGACTCCTATGCATAAGCTCTACATTTATTTATTTATTTATTTATTTATTTATTTATTTATTTATTTTTATGCATTTGGTACAGGGTCTCACTACACACCTCGCAGTCATTGTGACCCTCCAGATTTCAGCTTCCTCAGCACTGGGATTTCAAGCCTAAGCCACCACTCCCAGACCCAGTGGCTGCCTCAGGATGTCCCTGGGTGGGGCTGGTGAGGCATTTGGTCCCGGGGATAGAACCCCTGTCCCTGCTCTTGACTAAACAGGCACTTATTCCGCTGAGCTATGTCGCTGGCCCTAACTATACACTTTAAATAGATTTATAGAGTGGCCACAAGCCCACCAGTTCTTGAGGTCTCAACTTCAGCCCCCTGGGCCTCTCTCCACGTGGATCTCAGTGTCACTGTGCAGCCAGTGAAACCCTGCACCCTCCCGCCCAGGGCTGCTCGTTCCTGTCACCCCCCCCCCCATGGCAGTGCTAAGCTGGAGCGGACGGAGACTGCAGAGGGGAGGGACAATGCCCTGTGCTACGTGGGAACAACATCCGGGTAACTGTCAGCCTGCTTACAGTCCGCCACGGTTGGTTCTCCATATGCCCTGCTGGGAGCTGAATCCTGTGGTCTCCCTGAGTACCCTTCTCCTCCTGCTTCCCTGAGGTCAGGTGGCATCTGCCTGGTGTCCATGGCAGCTCCACGGGGCAGCTCCTGGGCAGCGCTGCTCACATGGACACAGAGCCTGACATTCAGGTCCACGTGACGCCGTGGCAACTAGAGAGTAATTGTAAGACAGAGGAAAGTCTGTAAAATTTGGGTGTCACGCGACACTCATTTGATAATCCACTAAAAAAATCAGAATTTAACTTTCTAAAGAAAAAAATATATATTTAAGAATGATGCTCCCATTTAACTGATGTTTGTACAGCAGCCAGCTCTGCTCCAAGTGGTGAAGGCACATGGCCATTCACATAAGGGGCATGGAGATCCACGCTGAGTGACCTTTTGAGACATGTCTGTGGAGCTGGGGAGCCCTTGGAACCCTCCAGTATGAGCTTCCCTGTGCCCAGCGTGGGAATAGGGTGAGTCAAGAAGGAATCAAGGGGAGAAGGACAGGGAAGAAGGAAAACTGAAAAGTCCTCATGAAACTAAAAAACGCACAAATCAAAGGATTCTTCCTCCACAGGGTTTTACTATTGAAATTTAAATGTGCAAGATTTTCTAAGCTCACTCTTATTGATAACCATTATCCCATGGTCTTTCCATGCAAGGCTCAGCCCACTCTGTCCCCCTTACCTCGGGCTCTCCTGGATCTCAGGAGAAGGACAGCAGTGGTCACCAAGGCGACGGCCAGCAGCACCAGCAGCACAGCCAGCGCCACCGTCCAGGCGCTGACCCGCGGGAACAGGGACTCTGGAAAACAGGGAGCAGCGCTGAGACCCCGCTGGGCCCGCCCGCCTGGCTGCTGGGCTCCAGTCCTCCCATGGGTTCTCCAGGGGGACAGCAGGGCGGAGACGCTGAGCCCCAGCCCCTGGGACTCCAGGACCTCAGGACCCGGGCGTCCCCTGCGTCCCCGCCTCCCCGACCTGTGAGACCCAGGAGGCCTGGGCAGTGGGGGGGGCTTGGACGGGGTTGGTTGGAAGCCAGCGCCCCAGCCGTCCGCGCCTCCGCACCCGCCCCGAGGCCCACGTGCATGCGGGTGAGTGCGAAGGCGTCCCAAGCACCAGCCCCGAGCGCGGCAGCCTCTGCCCCTCGTCTCCAGCGAGCTCGCCCCGCTGCGCTCCGTCCAGGTGCTGCCCCCTGTGCCCGGCCGGGAGCCCAGCGCTGAGCTGAGGACACGGGGAGCCGCGCTGCAGGGCCCGCGGGGTGCGGAAGGTGTCGGAGGGCGAGCCTCGGGAGGTGGGGTGCGCGCGGAGAGCCCGCCCAGGTCACCGCACGGATTCACCTGCGGGGGGTCGCTGTGGGTAACTTAAATATGAAATAGAGCCTATGTAGCCACAGTTTAATCTGTGTGATGAAGTTAGGTGAGAAGAGAAATGAGAATATTTTCATTTACAATCTTCATTCCATAATTTAGAAAACATGCTGTACGAAAATCAGCTAATCAGATCATCGCTGTTTAATTGCTTATACTTAATGGCTCAAATTACATAAAAACGAAGACCCACTCTCTATTGATATCATGGTCTGCCTTACAGCTTCAGGAGTCTTCTCCCATTAGAATTAATGATAATTATGTTTCGTAGTTTCAACTCTTCAATGTCTCAAAAACATTCCATAACCTTTGTTGACAGGAAAGTTTAATTATAATACAGGGCATACTGTATCGTCTCAAATTATTTTTTCTAAGATTCCTCTTTAAAAATTACTCCTCTGATGCATAATTTTCTCTTTACAATTTCAACTTCAAAAATGCTCTTAATAACTAAATTTAATGTGTGTAAGTTATCAAACTAAATCACAAAAAACATTTTTACGTAATTTCTTGACATAAATTTCTATAGTAATTTGGCAATATATACTTGGTATTAATTAATTTACCACCAGGAGGGATATTTAAGAATTACAGCGCAATGTTTCCAAAGTTTGTACTTCATGTGGATATACTCAATGATGGTTCACAATAAAGAGAGCACAGACAGATCGATAGAACAGCTTAGCTGGGCACGGCCCCAGGAAAGGGCTCAGGGGTCAGGGCCGGGGAACCTGCTCCTGTGAGGACACAGAGGAGCCCAGCAGGCAGCTCCATGGGCCTCGGGGCTGTGGGGAGGAGCAGGAGAGGGGAGCAGGGGAGAGGAAGGGGCGGAGCCAGGCTGGGAGGGACAGATGCTCAGGGCAGGAGCAGGCTCACAGGCCTGCAGCTGCTCCTTGGTTGGGGAAAGGACCTAGGACGCTGCGGGAGCCCGGAAGCCACGCTGGCCTCCTGGGGCAGCCGCTGGGGAGGGACACAGCGCGGCCTGCGGTGGGCAGCTCCTCTCTGCCCTCGGATGCCCCGGGGAGTCACTGCTCAGGGCGGCCTGAGGACAGGGACAGCGGGGTCATTAGCAGGGGACACCCAGATGGAGGCCAGAGCTTGTCCAGGGTCATGGGGCAGCAGGGGGCAGGGCCAGGACTGCAACTAGATGTGATGGGAGGAAGAATGAAGTCCACAGGTTTCGCCGGGGTCTCCCTTGGGAAATGGGCTTTGACAAGTTTAGAGTGAGCTTCAACGTGTTCCTCAAATGCTCTGTTACGTTTTGCTTACTCATGACATCATTTATTAAGAGCTGAAATAATGACTTCCTATTCAAAAATAGAAACTAAAAAACAGACATTTTAAATATAGCTTCCAAATAAGAGCTGGAACTGCGCTGGCCGGGCGCTCTGCTCTTGCAGTCTGTCCAGCAGGGCCATCTCTACTCCCCTCCCCCCAGCACTGACCCCCAGAGTGAGGCCCTGAGGGAACGCACCTGCCACTGCGAGCCACACCTCCTTCTCCTCTCCGAGCACCGGGTTCCTGATGGAGCAGGACACCTCCGCCCTTGAGCTCTCCTCCACCGTCACAGAGCTCTCCACGTGGACCAGGCCATCTACTCCTAAGGACACCTTCCTCGAGTCAGGTGACAGGTGCCGTCTGTGTGGGTCCCTCCACTGGAGCTCAGGGTCCGGGTACCACCCTGAGGATGAGCAGGTCAGCGTAATGCTCCCCGTGTGTGCAGGCTCCACGTAGATGAGGGGAGGTGTCCCTGAGGCTGGAGGGGTCACGAGAGGGACAAGAATGCTTCTTTTAAGTTTATAAATATGTGATTTGAGGTGTGAGCCAGAGATTACTAATGATATCCTGTATGAAGATCAAGTCTATGTTTGTGAAAACAGTTAGAGACATTCCGGACATAAAGTATTTCTCAGCACATTGCCTTAGACAAATGAAAATGACTACACCAGTCCTCAGCAAAATGTCCAAGGCCAAGCAGTGTTGTGTCTTTTATCCCCTTCCGTCCTCCCCCGAGTGTGACTCCTCCCTCGGTCTGCTGGCTCCTGAGGTGGTGCTGAAGTGCTCCTCCATCTCATGGAGCCCGAGAGCTGCAGATCACGCAGCACCCCAGGTTCTCCGTGGTAAAACGCAGGCGATCTCTTAGCCCTTCCTGACCTGCAGCAGAACTTGGCACCAGAACCTGGGATGTGGGCAAGGTCTTGTCACGTGGCCCAGTCCATCAGACCCTGGCACCGTGTGTGGATCGCGAGCACCAGAGGTGATGGCAATAAAGTGTGCTCTGCTTACTTGTTACCAGCTCAGATTAAATGTGCAGAACAGCATGCAGCAGGGCCCTGTATGGGGCTGCGCACTTCCCGTCGATCCATGCACACCATGCACACCCGCCAGCTGAGCGCCACACAGGCCCAGGATGCCTGGTCCTCAGGCCTGGACCTAAGATGCCAATGGAGGTGATGCCCTGGACTGCCCCGAGGCTCCTTCAGCCAGTGACCCGGAGGGGAAGGCAGTGAGCCACCCCTTTGGAGCGCCTCTGCCCTGGCCAGGCTATGCTTGGGGTCCTCCTCACAGTGGGCAGGGAGGCTTCACCGAGGGGCGCTGAGCCAAGAGTGCAGAGTGCGGAGACTCCAGTGCCCATCTCTTCCATTCCCCTGCCCCCTGCCCCTCACAAGCTCCTTGCTCCTTATTGCTCACTGAAGCACTAGGTCACAAGTAGGAGCATGAGTCCCCACCTGCCCCCAGCGCTGTGTCTGTCTGCAGCCCTGGTCTGGGGTCAAGAGTGGGGGAGGAAAACGAAGCCAGAAGCAAGAGGCGAAGCTGCAGAGCTGAGCCCCAGGGAAGGGCAGCCCTGCTAGGGCAGCACGGGGTCTCCTAGAGAGGGAGACAGTGAGGAGAGGGGCAGGGATGGGGTGCTGGAACCCTGCAGAGACAGTCTCCAGGGGAGCAGATTCCTGATCTGGGCCTCCCTTCGCTCCTCCAGGAGAACAGAGTAGACTAAAGAACTGAGGGAAGGCAGCTGCGCAGCTGAGAAAGCGCAGCTCCTGAGAGGGGGCTCACAGGGCTCAGATCTCACAGAAAGCCCAGGGAGTCAGGTGCACGGAGATGGAGGAAGGCTGGAAGGGCGCAGCACACCGTTGTGAGTTGTAGGAGAGCAGGGAAAGTAAAAGTGAAATGTTCCCTACATCAGTAAAAACAGAGACAATTTCCTGGACAATGCAGAAGGACCCCAGTGAAGGAAGGGCCCCATCTTTCTATGGAAAAGCACTTGGATTCTGGAGAACACATTTATGGTCACTGATTGTTTCAATTTTGAATCTCAGAGACATTATGTAAAAATGTACATTGGCAAATATAATACTTATGTACAGGGCACAGCTTCAGAATACAACAAAACCTCACATTCCTTTCTCTCTTTTTTGCAATTTTTATTAATGCATATTAGTTACAAAAACCTCTCATTTCAAGTAGCTTGGTTTTCTATTATTCCAGAAGGATCAATCATGTCCAATATACTTTAATTTGCTAATCAAGAAGTGTTTGGAAAACACATTAGTCCTTGATACTGAGGTCACTTGGCCACACCTGCTGAGCTCAGTCTCTCTCTCTCTCTCTCTCTCT